ACCTGTTGTTATATTACCTGTTGTATCACCTGTTGTTATATCACCTGTTGTATCACCTGTTGTTGTATCACCTGTTGTTATATCACCTGTTGTTGTATCACCTGTTGTATCACCTGTTGTATCACCTGTTGTATCACCTGTTGTTGTATCACCTGTTGTTGTATCACCTGTTGTATCACCTGTTGTTGTATCACCTGATATATCACCTGTTGTATCACCTGTTGTATCACCTGTTGTATCACCTGTTGTATAATCTGCAATTTCACCTGTTGCGCAGTTATTTTCTTGAATTATATTTAATGTCCATTTTGAGTCATCGTGGCGAAATCAGACGCTCGTGAAAATGGTGAAATGAAAGAAATCTGTATTTTTATGGTCTTTTGGGCAATTGTTTTCGAATTCTCTTTATTGTGGACTCAAAATCTTAGATGTACATTTAAAAACACATTCATTCCTGGATTTTACTGGAAAAACCTTGATCAAAGGCACAAAAAGATGTAAATGAAAATTTGATTTTTCCAAGGACTCTAAAGCTTTGGTAGTCAACAAACTTTGCCTGATATTTTTTCTCTAATTGTACTTCTGAAACCAAGCAACATCATCTCCATCAATTGCAAATAATAAAAATCGACTCCTATTCATGAGAGCTTTGTAATTTTTTCAACGTAAGCAAGACAAATGAGCAAGTTTTATGACGACGCCAATAACTCCACATGGCCAAAAGATGACGAGCGCCTGATTCCACCACGTCATATAAACAAGATACCTAATTGTGTTTCCGTCTTGCCTACAGCAGTCACGGTTCTATGGTGCGACGAGCCCCTATGTTGTGGAGAGTTCCCCTCGTCCTTACCTTGTGCCTACAGGCCTCTCGTGTCGTGACCGATGCTGCCTGTGACGTCACACACGGGTGCACGGACAGCGGTCAATCAGCTGACCAGGCGGCAGAGAGAGGGTTCAGTTTGTTCTTTCAGTCGAACCTAAAGGAGTTGGAAGATGTGCCTGTGACCTTTGTGAAACCACTGCCCCCCTGGATGAATGGGACGCTGGTAGGTGGGAGGACAAATACACAGCTTTATATCACTAAATCATATCCTAGATTGTGCACTGTGACGTATCTCCGTATCGTTTCAGAGGTTGTGAAGACACTTCCTCGTGGTTGAATAGGACGCTGGTAGGTGGGAGGAAAAATACATCGCTTTAAATCACTAAATCATATCCTAGACTGTGCACTGGGACGTTTTTCCTGTTCACTTTAAGAGGTCGTGAAACCACTCTTCCTCC